TTCAAACTAAACAAACCAAAGTACAGAGCGATCACATGGGAAGGAATGTAACTGTTGAATCACTGTGTTGTACACCTAAACTCATTGTGCGTCAAGTATACTTTAATAATTAAAGAAAACCAAGGTAGAGTTACCTGTATAATAGCTGTAATGTAATGAAAAAAAATAGGTATATATAATAAAATATGAGACAAGTGGACCCATTCACAAGAGAAACAGCCAAGGACACAAGCCCCCGGGGCTAACCTGAACCAAAAACACGAAGGGCACCCAGGGCGGCGGCTCTGTCCTCTGCTGAGGGACCCGACGAAATGGAAATAGAACCGGCTCCTCACTGGCACCGTGATTTATGGATTGGTTTTCCAGTGAAAACAGCCCTGGCTATTTTTCTTTATTTAACTTGAGAAAGTATCCCAAGATTCCCCTGGAAGACTAACCAGGTGCTCAGAAAACGCTCTTAGACGTTAAAATGTAATTTTTTAAAGTGATTAAGTGAATGCGATTCTGACTCTACACAGGACAATGAAACATGAAATCTCTATAAAAAAATATGGTAGGAAAAAAACAAAAAGTCAGTGGGGGGGGCAGGTTATTTAATAAAAGGAAATGGGACAGTCACTTGAGTACTTGAAGAAAAAAATCATTTTGATTTTCTACCCTATATATTTCAGCCAGTAGAATACTAAAGATGAACCTTAGACGTAAAGAATTTCTTGTCAGCGGCTGTTTCCTTTGACCTACAGCTCCTTCCTTGAACTACACAAACAAGTGTACTTCTAAGATGCAAAGAAAATTTACAATAAACCTAAATGTTGCCTTTATCCTTTTGCTGTGAACAAAATAATTAAATAGGGACCTGCCCAGGCTCAGTCAGAGCCACCCAGTAGCCCATACTGGACAGAGAGACCTTTCTGGAGTCAGAAAAAGGTCACAGGTCATATGAGAAGCAATTGAACTTCCAAAGAAGGTCCCAGCCTACAGGTTGAGGCCACGTGGTCCTCCACTTAAAAGATAAAATGTTTGCCCTGGCCGGTTTGGCTCAGCGGTTAGAGTGTCAGCCCGTGGACCAGAGAGTCCCGGGTTCGGTTCCTGCTAAGGGCACGTACCTCGGTTGCAGTTTGTCCCCGACCCTGGTAGGGGTCGTGTGGGTGGCAGCCACTCAGTGTGTCTCTCTCACATTGATGTTTCTCTCTCTCTCTTCCTCCCTTTTTCCCTCCCGCTGTATCTGAAGATAAATGCAAAAAAAAAAAAAAATGTCCTCGGGTGACGATAAAAAAAAAAAGATAAAATGCTTAACTCTCTGGCACTCCGTGAGACTCTGGAGGAGAGTGTGGCAGCAGAGGCCGAGCAGCGGTGGTGGAAAAGAGCAGAAGGGCCCTGGCCGGTTTGGCTCAGTGGTTAGAGCGTTGGCCTGCGGTCCAGAGAGACCCGGGTTTGGTTCCCACTAAGGGCACGTACCTTGGTTGCAGTTTGTACCCGGCCCTGGTTGGGTCGTGCGGGTGGCAGCCACTTGATGTGTCCCTTTCACGTCGCCCTTTCATGTCGGTTTCTCTCTCTCTGTCTCCCTCCCACTCTATCTGAACAAAAAAAAAAAAAAGGAAAAATGTCCTCGGGTGAGGATAAAAAAAGGAAAAAGAGCAGAAGGGCTTTCTCGATGAAAAGCGTCCGTGCCAAGTGAGCGCTCAGTGGAGAGGGGACAGCAGGGGGGAGATTCCTGGCAACTCAGCACACAGTTGGCACACCAGTCCAAGGAATTCTTCTAGAACTCAAGAAAAAGATAAGGAAAGAAAATTATTGGAGGACACAAAGAATTGAGGCAAGAGAATGGAGCAGAGGAGCGGTAACAGTCCAGACACCTGACAGGGGATGTGTCCCTGGGGTGAAGACTGGGGTTTTACTCACATGGATATGGGAGTTTCTGGCAGTTGAGACTTTGACCTAATTCCTAGTAGACCCGGAGGAGTTGAGCCAAAGGTCCAGGATTTGGAGTCTGTTTTCTCTATATGGTTACCAACAGACCCAAGAGGCAAACATGTAATATGCTTGTTAAAAAGAGTTTAGACACATCAACAGACAAATGGGCAATGGATATGAACAGGCAGTTCACAAAAGGAGAAACAAATGTCTAAGAAGTAATAAAAATTACACAAGTAATTTTAAGTGCAAATTTAAACCACAAAGAAACTTACAAATGGACAGAATGTAAGTTCCACCAGGACAGGAGTTGGTCTGCTCCATCACCCCACTGTCCTAGCACAGTACCTGCCACTTGCTGAATATTGTTGAACAAGTGAATATTTTTTCCAGTTCCGAGAGCTTCCCCGTTTTCTGATTCTTTCTTTATAAAGCATCCCATTCTTGTCTCATGGATGGGGATATCATCTCTTACATTTCTGACAAGGTGATTGGGAGATTTTTGAAATTTCCCGTTGCTCTCTGCATTGCCTTTGTGTCCGAGTTCCTTCTCTCCTGGTGGTTGCTTCAGTCTCTGTCGTTCATGATCAGCACCTTTCTAAAACGTGTCTCTTCTTGGGCTCTCCACGCATGCTTTCAGATCAGGCCGTAAATGCTGGCTGGACGCTCTGAGTGTACGGGGGGCTGGTGGGGATCGTGGCCATGTGACCAGGTCCTAGGTCCAAGACCCCTGAATATAAGTATCGGTAGCTGTCTTCTCTTGGGTGGGCTTGTTTCCCAGAGAGACATCTCTAATCTAGTATAGTGGGAGCCAAGCTCCATCTTCCTGTCTTGAGGATGGTTCTGCCCCCTCCTCTCAGCTGGACCTGTATCTGCGAGTCAAGAGTCTTTCTGATTCAACCTCAGCAGAATGCAGATATCTGGCCTTCCAGGATGAGAGAATAAGGTAGATGATTGGATCTAAGAGCTCCTTAGGCAAATCCTCAACTAGTCCTGTGTTCCTGCCCTCTCCACCACCCCACGCCAACCTCCGCCAGAGACGTTGCCGGCTCCTCGAGCCCCTGAGCCACTCCTGGGCTCCGCCGAGCAAGGCACCTTGCCCCTCACCCCCTTCCTGCTGCACACTCTGCTTGCTCTGTTATCATTACTCATCAGCTCTCTAGCTTCCAAAATTGTGTTCACCTTTCCCGTCTATTATCTCCTTTCTCCCTCTCTTTGCCCTTGTGATTGCATACTTCTTTTATTCCTTTATTGCCATTTTATTAGATTTTCCACAGGGGGGGGGGAGATAAATAATGAGTTCCATCCACCATGTTAAACTCACAACCATGTATTACTATGGTAACCTCAAGGTAAGGACAGTATCACTTCATACGAAGCAATGTCCTGGGCATGTTACCAGAATGAAGACAGGTACACATCCTTGGGGAGCGATCAGTCCCACGGGAAAGACAGAGGCAAACAGATCATTGTCATATAAGCACTGGAGGTGTATCTGGGTAGCAGTGGGGTCACCGGCAAAGTACACTCATTTAACGACTGGGAGAGGGGGTTCACTTAAGAGGCAACACTGGGGTTGTAAGAAAGGAAAAAGGCTTGAACTCGTGACCATTTGAAGGGCAAGAAGGAGTTGCAGCCCAAATTGTTGCTCGTATGGATGCTTCTCTCCTGGTCGTGACAAAGCAATGATTTCTCGGTGGACGACCCGCCCTGTCAAGATGAGCTAAACCGTCACGGGCACACCTAAGTTTCCAAGGTGCCCAGCAGAACTGCCTGGAGGCCACCCTGGTGCCCCACACCCAGTTTTCTCCAGTCAGAGACAAAGGTGAAGGTTAAATGCGTGTACATTTCCCAAGAGAGTTAGCACCCAGCAGAAGCTAGTTCTTTTTTAAAGAGGAAAAGAGAAAGAACATGTTCCATGTACAACATAGGTCTAAGATGTGTTGAAATATAACTAACTTTGCTTTCCATAACACTCACCTTGCTTTTCAGCCCTATTTTCATGAATGGTAAAAAAAATACACACACACACACACACACTACTTCAAGGTAACTATCTTCTGATATTAGGCTTACTCTCTATACAGGTCAGTGTTTCATCAAGTTAATCTTGTACTGCCTAATTCCCCAAGATTGAATCAAATATCCTCAGTAGCAAATCATCCTGGCATCTGGCCCTAAATGCCCTCTAGCCGAGGGGTCTGCCCTCAACCTTGGCACTCACCTCTGTCCTCTCTGCCTTCACCCTGAAGCTTCCTCAGTGCCCTTGGCTCAGGCACTAACCATCACTACTGTCTGGGCCCATGCCAGGGCTCTCCCTAGTACTTCCGCACCATGGTACCTGCCTTGGGCTGCACACCCTGTACCCTGTACCCTGTCTCCCCCAAGTAGCCTGCTAACTGTTTCAACCTCCTTCACTACTCCTCTCAAGGAGCCTTGGGAGTTTTTGTAGATTTCTGCCATGCCCTGCTGAAGCTGAGGGTTACTTGGAAGGCAGGGGAGGGGATGTTTTCTGGAGCCCTCTCTGCCCACACATGCCATACCACCATTGCTGCTGGGCTGGTGCTGTTCTGTGTTGGCACAGGGCAATGCGAGACGGCCTCCTAGAATTCCAAGCAGAATCTAAGCCCACCAGCTCTGCAGTTTCCAAACCTAACCGGCCCTCTTAACCAGGCCCTCCTCCTCCCAGCACGCACAAGATTTTGTCTCTGGCGGGTAAGAGGGTGTAGAGAACAGGCCTCAACTTGTGTCTAAACTCCGTCACCACACACCTTTTCTCCCAGGCTCTTCTCTCTGCCTGCTGCTCATTCCTCCACCCTCATCCCAGAAAGGGCCTTTCCTTTCCATTTTCCCATTCTCTCCTCTTACTACTGTGGGTTTTAGTAAACCGTGTGCTCTGACTCCCCGCTCTTCGGTTCTCGCTCTTTTTTTCACGGGTAACTTTTGGAATTTGAATAAATCTTTCTCTCTCAATAAAGCCTGACTCTTACAAATGAAAACTTTAACCTTCACAGGTGTTCCTCTGAAATGAGTTTTAGCAGCCAGCGCTGGAATTCAAAAGCTGAATGTCCTCTTTTCACTCTCAGCTGGTTCTGCCATCCCTCGGAGCAGTGGATGCCCAGCCTCCCGGAGGGAGGGCCCCGGGCAACCAGGTTACCAGGGCTAGAAATATGCCTCAGAGAACTTCCGCTTCCAGGGGGCCTGGCTGCACTCTTGGGATCAACTCTCCCACTAAAACACAACAATGAATGGTGAATAAGACATTTTCAAACCTCACTTCTAAAGCTGAAAAGTGGGGATATCTCAGACCAGCTGGGATGAACACCTGTAACCATGGAAGTCAGTAGGTTACTAGAACACCAGAACCACTGATGTCCTATTGAACCCGTGGCCATAGAAGCCATGAGGGAAGGAGTTGAAGGGCTGGAGCCCTCCCAGACTGGGGGGACTTATGGGTGACTTCCTACACATTAAGCTGGACCCCCAAGGGGCTTCAGGGCCAGGGCGAACGACATCTTGACCTGCCTTCTTTCCCCAGCCCCAGGGACCTCAGTGAAGCCTTGTTGCCTTGGTACTAAGGCAAGCAGAAGGAGAAAAAAATAGGATGAAATATCACTAGAAAAAAATTGCTACACATCAGTCTTTGCTCAAATTTGCAACCTTTTGCCTGGATTGGCCAAATAAGCTCAAGCCAAGAGCTTGATTTAAGGTCATCCATGACTTTTAATAACTGCACATGTCTGTCAAAAGCAAACATAAAGCCTTCTGGAAGCCTATCTATCTTAGGCGTGGGGGAGCCTCCACAAATAACTAGTCAGGTACATTGACCAGCAAGCAGTCAAAAATCAGCACAAAAGAAACAATATAAGTAAGAATGAGCAGAAACAGGCAACAGGAATAACCAGTGCAGACTTGGAAATTGACATTGTCAGATACAGATTTCAAATTCATGTTTTTGTCCTGGCCAGATTGGTCAGTTGGTTAGAGTATTGTCCCTTGCACCAAAGGGTTGTGGGTTCGATCCCCAGTCACAACACATACCCAGGTTGTGGGATCAATTCCCGGGTGGGGAGTGTACAGGAGGCAACTGATCAAGGTTTCTCTCTGACATCAGTGTTTCTCTCTCCCTTCCTGTCTCTCTCAAATCAATAAAAACATATCCTTGAATGAGGATTTTTTTTAACTATGCTTTTATTTAAAGAAAAAAGTGACCTACTAGATTTGATGAAGAACCAATCAGTACTTCTAGACATGATGACTAAAATAAACAAAATTAAAAGGTCAATAAAAGTCCACTAAAACAAATAACATTTCTAAATATGTGCATGCAAAAAAAAAACCCTCAATCTCAAAATACACGAAGCAAAAACTGATAGTTTTGAAAAGCAAAATAGACAAATTCATAGTTATAGATTGGACTTCAACACTCCACTCTCAACAATGGACAGAAATGCTCAACAGAAAATCAGCGAAGATTTAGAACTGAGCAGCACAGTCAACCAGCAGGATTTAACTGATATGTATGGAACTCTCCACCCAACAACAGCAGAATATACCTATTTTCAAGCACCCACGGAATACTCATTAAGATAGACCATGTTCTGAGCCATTAAACAAACTTCAACAAGTTTAATCCTCACCCGAGGACATTTTTCCATTTTTTGTTCAGATAGAGCGGGAGGGAGAGAGAGAGAGAGAGAGAAACATCAATGTGAGAGAGACACATTGATTGGTTGCCACCCACACAACCCACAAACTGCAACCGAGGTACATGCCCTTAGCAGGAACCGAACCCAGGTCTCTCTGGACCGCAGGCCGATGCTCTAACCGCTGAGCCAAACCGGCCAGGGCACAAACTTCAACAAGTTTAAAAGAATTGAAGTCATACAGATTATGGTCTCTGACCATAATGGAATCAACTGAAATAAATTTTTAAAAAGACAACAGGAAAATATTAAAGTACTTGGAAATTAGACAATACAATTTTAAATAATCCACAGGTCAAAGATAAGGTCTCATAGCAAATTCTTAAAAATACATAGAACTGAATGAAAATGAAAATACAACTTATCAGAATGTGTTGATGCAGCTAAATCAGTACTAAGAAGGAAATTTATAACACAAAATATTTAGGGGTGGGGAGGAAAGGTCTCTAATCAAGAAATAAAAGGCATATTTATTGTAAAGGAAGAAAAAAAGCTTTCCCAGTTTACATGTAATATGAATGTCTATGTAGACAATACCAAGGAATCTATTTTTTAAATCCCCTAGAACATCCCTGGCCAGTGTGGCTCAGTTGATTGGGCATCTTCCTGTGCATGGAAAGGTTGCTGGTTTGATTCCAGTCAGGGCACATGCCTGGGTTGTGGGCTCAATGCCCTAGGGGTTTTAGAGGAAGCAGCCAATGGATGTTATGCTCATATCAATGTTTCTCTCTTCTCCCTTCCTCTCTAAAAATCAATAAACTATTCTTTTTAAAAACTCCTAAAATAAATTAGTTTAATTGCAAGGTAAAGATCAACAAACAAAAGTCTATCACACTTCTATGTACTAATAAGAGACCAAAATTAAAACACAGTGCCATTTATAAATGATTGAAAGAAAATGAAATATTTAGGTATAAATCAACAGAACATGTATAGAATTTGTGTCCTGAAATTACACAATGTTATGGAAGAACTTAAAGACCTAGACAAGTGGAAAGATTTACAAATTTATAGATTGAAAGATTCAAAAGTTCAATTAATGATTTGGAATCAGATTAGAGAGAAAAATATAGACTTACTGAACTGGAATACAGATCAAATGAAATTATCCAGAATGGAGCAGAGAGAGGAAGAGGTGCTATGTTTTGTTTTGTTTTGTTTTTGATTCCAGAATACAGGGTAGGAGACATGGAGGCTACATATATACAATCAGAAGAAAAAGAGCCCTGGCCGGTTTGGCTCAGCGGTTAGAACATCAGCCCGTGGACCAGAGAGGCCTGGGTTCAGTTCCCGCTAAGGGCACATACCTCGGTTGCATTTTGTCCCCAGCCCTAGTTGGGGGTCATGTGGGTGGCAACCACTAGATGTGTCTCTCTCACATTGATGTTTTCTCTTTCTCTCTCTTCCTCCTTCTCTCCCTCCCGCTCTATCTGGAGATAAATGGAGAAAAAAAAAAAAAACATGTCCTTGAGTGAGAATAAAAAAAAAGAAAAAGAAAGCGGAAAAGGAGCAGAGGCAATTTTTGAAGAGGTAATAACTAAAAATATTTCAGATTTAATAAAAGGCACCACTCCGCAGAACTAAGAGACCCAGTGATCCCAAAGCAGAATTCATAAAAAAACTAAATCCCTATGTAAAAAAGAAAAAATTAAAAACCAGAAAATTACAGATTACCTTTATAGGAATGGCAGTTAGATGACAGATGATTTCTCAACAGCAACAATTAAAGTCAGAAGACAGTGAAATAATAATTTTAGAGTACTGAAGAAAAATGATTGCTAACCAGTTATTTTAAATCCAGTGAAAATATCTTTCAAAATCAGAGTAATATTTTTAAAATATCTTTCAAGAATAAAATCACTAACTTAAAAAAATTCTACGGGATATATTCTGTCAGAAGGAGAGTAATTCCCAGACAGGTCTATATGCAAAAAGAAATGGAGTACAAAGAAAATAGCAAATACATGGGTAAATTTATGTTTTTTATCCATTTTATTTATCTTTACAAAGACCAGCTCTCTTAGTTTCATTGATCTTTTTTATTTTTTTAATGTTATATTCTGTTTATTTCTATTCTGATCTGAACTATTTCCTTCTTTCTGTTTACTTTGGGTCTTATTTGTTCTTCTTTTTCTAGTTCCCTTAGGTATAGAGTGATTGCTTATTTGAGATTTTTCTTGTTTATTCAGGTAGGCCTAGATAGCTATAAACTTCTCTCTTAGAACTGCTTTTGCATCCCATACATTTTGAAAAGTTGTGTTTTCATTTTCTCAAGATAATTTTTGATTTCCTCTCTGATCCATTGGTTGTTTAGTAGCATGTTATTTAGTCCCCACGTATTGGGGGAGGGGGAGTTCCAGTTTTCTTCCTATAGCTGATTTCTAGTTTATGCCATTGTGATCAAAAACAATGCTTGATATGACTTCATTCTTCTTGAATTTATTGAGGTCTGTTTTGTGGCCTAATATATGATCTATCCTGGAGAATGTTCTGTGGGTAAATCTAAATGTGATCAGTGTATAAAACAGAATAATATGGTCTTAACAAGATTAGGGGGATAGATAGACTTAAAATATCTACAACAATAACATGTAAGGAGATGGCAGATGGAGTTAGAGTTCTGAGTCCTTGTGTTGTGGAGGAAGAAGGTAAAGGTCTTAATTTACTTTGGATGTAAGACTACATATGTGAGTTTCGGTATGAGAAAAAACAATGAAATAAAGTCCAAAGACAGGCAGAAAAGAAAAAAAACTGACAAAAGAACACATACACAAAATAAGATGGTAGCTTGAAACTTAAATATGTCAACATTCACATTAAATATAACTAAACCTAATATATTTTTTTTTTTCTTATCCTCACCCGAGGATATTTTCTCCATTTTTGGTACAGATAGAATGGGAGGGAGAGAGAGGAAGGGAGAGAGAGTGAGAAACATCGACGTGAAGGGACACATCGAGTGGCTGCCACCCGCACGACCAACCAGGGCCGGGGACAAACTGCAACCAAGGTACATGCCCTTAGCGGGAACCGAACCCGGGTCTCTCCAGACCGCAGGCCGACGCTCTAACCGCTGAGCCAAACCGGCCAGGGCTAAACCTAATATTTTCATTAAAAATGAATAATTATCGCCCTGGCCGGTTTGGCTCAGCGGTTAGAGTGTCGGCCTGCGGTCCTGAGAGACACGGGTTCAGTTCCCGCTGGGGGCATGTACGTCGGTTGCGGTTTGTCCCCAGCCCTGGTTGGTCGTGCGGGTGGCAGCCACTCGATGTGTCCCTTTCACATCGATGTTTCTCTCTCTCTCTCTCTGTTCCTCTCTTCCCCCCACCCCTACTCTACCTGAACAAAAAAAATGGAAAAAAAGTCCTCGGGTGAGGATTAAAAAAATGAATAATTATCAAACTTGACCAAATTTTGTTTTTAATTTAGCTCTTTACGCATAGACGTGTTTGAAACAGAAGTATAGGTAGGTTGAAAGATTTTTTTTTACTGCCACACATGTACTAATCAAAATAAAGCTGTTGAAGCTACATTAATGTCAGGCCTTTCAGTCAAGTAGCATTGTTAGAGTTAAAGGTGCTCAATTTGCAGAAAGTTATGTAAGAATAATAAATACATAGGCAATAGCACATCCTTAAAATAAGTATACGCCTAAGGGAGCAGGTGACTACAGAGAGAAGGCCAGGATGAGGCATGGAGATTTTTATTTTTTTATCCTCACCCAAGGACATTTTTGCATTTATCTTCAGAGAGAGTGGGAAGGAGAGAGGGAAGAAGAGAGAGAGAAACATTGATGTGAGAGAGACACATCTGCAACCGAGGTACATGCCCTTAGTGGGAACCGAACCTGGGCCTCTCTGGTCCACAGGCCAACGCTCTAACCGCTGAGCCAAACCGGCCAGGGCAGCACAGAGATTTTTTAGCACATGCCTGAATTCAGGCTGCCGAGGGGAGGACAAGCTTTTGTAAGTGCAACGCCCTGTTCTCCTTTGCCTAGGGATGTACCAGGTGATCGGGGGTATCATCTCCCCCGTCAGTGACAACTACAGGAAGAAAGACCTTGCACCTGCTCACCACCGCGTGGCCATGGTCCGGCTGGCCCTGCAGACGTCCGACTGGATCCGGGCGGACCCCTGGGAGAGTGAGCAGGCGCAGTGGATGGAGACCGTGAAGGTGCTGAGGTAACAATGGGCACGCTGTCATGAGATGACGGGGGCCATGGGACACGTCTGCAGGGATGGAGTGTTGAGTGGGGCTTCAGCCAGGCTTCTCAGCCAAATCCAAGCAGTGCTTGGGGGACAGACACCGACAGACTCCGGTTCGCGGAGAGGTCCCGAATGAAGAACTCAGGCCGCCGCCCTTCAGGCGGGCTTTCTGCAAACACCCAGTCTTGTCAGCAGGCTGTACCACCTGGCTCTGACACACATTTCTCACTTGCAAAATGGGGACAGTAAATCCTAATTCGGATGTTAAAGATGTAAATAACTTTTCTGACCCAGAACCACGGAAGAATATTCAGTGAGTGGGACCTTTTGCTGTTGTCATCAAGTAGGTTGAAAACTGTGTGTACCTAATAAGCCATCTTTTCTAATTACACAAATCCTGGGTTCTAGCAATCTAGACTTTAAAATAGGGGGGAAACTATGAATCGAAATAGTTACGTGGGTGGTGGCGGGTTTTTCTTTCGGAATTGCCGTTAGCATTCAGCGTAAGGATTAGCTCTTTGAAAGCCTGGTGGGCCCTGCATGACAGGACGGGTCACCGACTTGTCTCTGGGAAACCTTAGCGGGAGTTTGCTGCAGGAGCAGCAAGGAGCAGAGTCCCACCTGTCCAGGCTGTCACGGGATTGTGAGGTGGCCTGTCCCGGGACGGCCAGCTCAGGTGGAAGGAATTGCCAGTTGTGGGCTGAGGCTTTTGCCTGTTTGGAAGCATGAGGCTTGTCAGAGACGAGGGATAACAAATAGTTGGCAGCTTTGTTTATAATCTGTTTTGATTTTCATTGTCTTAATTATCTTCAAAATCACCGGGGATACAGATGTTTACCTTTTTAGTACAGGTGAACATTTAGTTACATATTCTGGTTCTTATTATTTACCTTTTAGGAGGGAAAGAACCAGCTAAAGGCATTCAGCAGTCACAATGCTACCTCACAACCTGTTGCCAAGTTAAAAGGAGAGCAAATACGAAATAATTGTTAGGACATGCGCTCTCTTTTTTGTTTTTTAACAGAAGGAATAAATTTACACCTAGATAAATCATCTTTCAGAATAAGCCATATAGTCAGTTCTCATTTATCTAGCTAACAAGGAATAGAAACAAAACAATAGACAACCCAACAAATCATTTAGCTTGAGTGTGTAAGCGGAAACAGACGGAAGCTGTCCTCCTTTGCCCGTGGAGTGTGGCCTAGGGCCCAGATTTTGGAGCCCAATTTACTAGTTAAGTGACTTGATATAAGTGAGTCAATCTCTCTGAGCCTCAGTTCTTCACCTTATAATATGGGGATCACACTACTTGCTTCTCTGGGGTACAGTGTAAATTAAAGAGATAATGTAGAAAAAAATACCTGGCTCCTGGTAGGTGCTTAATAATGGTAGCTGCCTTCCCTGAATCTCTAACACTGGCCTGTAATTTATCCTTAAAACAGAGAAGTCATTCTTGGATAAATAGGAACTGACCACAGTACTACATCATATTACTAGTGCGTCTGCTGCAAATGCAGGTGTGAGCTAAAATTTTATTGAACACTTTTTTTTTTCTTCTTCTTTTTTTAGGACCTTGGCTGCACATGAATCACCTAGGGAGCTTTCAAAAATATCAATGCCTGAGTCTTACCCCAGAGGCTGGAATGTCATCAGGATTTTTAAGAGCTCCCTGGTGATCTTAACGTGTGGCCAGAATTGAGGCCACAGGCTCGGTTGCCAATTATGTGAATCAGACTTTCATTAGTACCAAGATTCGTCCAAACCAGTGGTCTCAACTCTGGCTGTAGGAATTATCTGGGATGGCTATTTTGAAAAAATGCTCACCACACCCGGCTGCTATGGTTCAGTGGTTGAGTGTCAACCCATGCACCAAGAGGTCCCTGGTTCGATTCCTGCTCAGGGTACCTGCCCAGGTTGTGGGCCAAATCCCCAGTGGGGGAAATGCAGGAGGTGGCCAATCAATGTTCTCTCTCATCCATGTTTCTATCTCTCTTCCTTCCTCTCTCTGTAAAATCAATAAAGAAAAAAAATTTTTTTTAATAAAAATGCTCACCACCCCCAAGATTGTGATTTGTCTGGTTTGGGGGTATAGGCACAGGTAATTTTTAAAAGGTCCCCAAATGATTTATTCTGTGCAGCCAAAGATAAGAACTCACTGATACAGATGGCCAACACCGTTTTATCAGATAGCTGATTATCAGATATTCTTTCAATATTTAGAGTGAGCTTCATCTTCAGCTATATCTATTACATTAGAAAATTTGTTTGATTACTAATGTTTTTCTATAACTACCAGAAGGTCTTTTTTATAAGGTTGAAAATCTGCTTAAAATTGTAAAGTGATTTTAGAAGCATGGTCAATCTGTCCCACCCTTTGTTCCATTTAATGTCTTCTTGATAGAGTCCACAGTGAATATTCATCATAGCAACAGTGACAAATATCGCTATAAAGTAAACTCACCGTGGGCCTTCTTGAACATTATTTTTCTCCTTATCAGGTTGCTTATGTTTACTCTAATTTTTTTAAATCTAGGTCAGCTGTCATGTTTTCAGGACATTTGATAACTTATTTCACTCACTTTTTCCCCATGTTGTGGGGGGTAGAGCCATGGGTACGTGTCACTTGATGTGGTCCACCATTGCCATCTCACGTACTCCTTTGGAAACATGATCTTACATTGTCCTCGTTTTACAGATGAAGAAACTGAGGTTTAGAGAAGTGACATTTATCACAGTCACACAAGTAGGCACGTGGTGGAGCCCGTCTGTTCGGCTTTGAAGCCATGCTCATGGCCATCTTCAAAACCTGGGGTCTGCAGGTGGGAACGCGACGTGGCTGGCTTTGCTCCTGCTACAGTGAGCCTTGGAGGTGTCCCTGGAGAATGGGGCTGCTTAGGACACAGAGAACATGCTCGCAGGGTCAGTCCTCAGGTACAGGGCTGGGCACACCAGGGTACCTCTCAGGCAGGCAGCACCAGGAAGGGATGCCCACGTCCCACAGAGGCAGAGTGGAGGTCTGTGAGGAAGAGGCCTTCTGCGCTGAAAGTAATCATTTGCACACCAGAGCTCAGAGATCCAGCTAATACTCCAAGCAGGGTTAGCTCTAACTAGGAGCTTCAAGGCAAGTAAAATAAAAATGACAAGCACTTTTTATTGATCACCTACTGTGTGGACCAGGCACTTTCACATAGATAATATCTAATCAGCTCAGCAACTCTGAGAAGTAGGTGGGTTTAGCCCCATTTTACAGATAAGGAAATGGAGGCTCTGAAAGGGTCAGTTACATACTCAAAGTCCTACAGTTAGAAAGCAGAAGTGAGACTCAAACCTACTTCAGTCTGATGGGAGATTTCAGACTAAGCCAGGAGTGAAACCTCAGAGACGCCAACCAAAACCAAAGCAGAAAGACAATGTGTAAACACTGCTAGGCCTCACGAAAACTCAGCTGAGTCTCTGAGATCTCAGGAAAGACTTTGGACCAGAATTAAATGTATGTCTCCGCTCCTTCCATCGTTCCTGAATTCAGCCAACTCTAGGTAAGCAGTTCCTAAGTATTAGGACTGTAAGGATTATTTAAATAATCTCCCTGTTCACAATCTGGTGGGGAAGATAGACTGACAGCAGTAATAATAACAGCAGCCAACATTTATTGGGCACTTTCTGTGTATGGGTTAGTACTGAGCTCTTCAATTAATCCTCACAACAGCTCTCTGGGGTGGGTACTGTCATTATACCTCACTCTACAGCTGAGGAAACTAGAAGCGGATCAAGTAAAGAACCCATCAAGCCTGCACAGCTATGAGCTGGAACCATGCCCGGCCAGTGTGGCTCAGTGGATTGAGCGTTGTCCCATGGACTGAGAGGTCCCAGTTCAATTCCTGACCAGGGCACGTGCCTGGATTGCAGGCTCGATCCCCAGTAGGGAGCGTGCAGGAGACAGCGGATTGATATTTCTCTCTCACATCAATTTCTATCTCTCTCTCCCTTCGTCTCTCACATGCACACACACACAAAAATCAAGCTGGAACCAGAGTTCCAACCCAGTCTAACTCTAGAACTTGAACTTTACACTGAGCCCCCCCAGTAATAATCAGCATTGAGCCTCTTCCCCAGCATTTTCAGAGAAGAGGCACTTCCTTCATGATCTTGGGGTACTCAGTGGAGATGAGACTGGTATTAACTTTTATGAACAATTAACAGGCAAGGTCAGTTAGGCTCTGAAAGTGTTAGCAAGCCATCCAGGGTCATCCGTGCAGGAGAACCTAACCTTGAACCCATCTCCTTTGGCTACAAAGCTTTTACCACCAGGCACTGCTCCCTCCCAAAGACAGCTCTAGTTAATGCCTAGAACAGTAAATAGGTAGAAGATAGAAGATCAAATTAATATGACACAGTGATTACCTGTGTAGGATTTAAAAAAAAGATGAAGACAGCTATCTCTTGATTTGCAGAAGACAGAACACTAAAAGATCCACGCATGCCAAATTGGTGAGTCTAATCATATTTTAAATGGTCATGCATAACGAGATTTGCTCTGTGCACACACTGTTCAGTGCACTCTGCGTGTACAGCTCCTTTAGTCTTCACAACCGCCCACTGTCATTATTCCTTGTGCAGGGGCTGAGCCCTCCACACAGAGACCTGAGACCACTCAGCCAGGGTCAGACAGCCGGCCTGCGGGGGAGCGGTCCAACCCAGACGGTCGTGCTGAGAGCCAGACTCTTAGCCATCAGCCTCTCAGATTCCAAGATACTAACTTATGATAAGAGTGAGCATCTCTTTGGGGAGCCAGCTCTGGGCCAGTGCCTACTGTCTAGTAGCTCATGTACCTTCACAAAAGGCTAAAAAGTGGGTGTTATTATCCCAGCTTTACAAATGAAAATTTGTATTTTGAACTCAGGTCTGTCTGATTCTAATAGTCCATTTCTTTAATCCCTACTCAACTCACTTTTAAAAGTGAGATAGTGAAAGAAAACATGAAAAGAGTAGAAATAGGCTCGTTTCCCCCCTTTTCACACAGGGCTCACAGAGGGCAGTGGACTGTCCTGGATAGGGCACTCTGCAGGACCCCACAGGGTCTGCTTTCTGTCCAGCACCTGGCACACGCTCAGCCCTCAGCAAGTATCTGCGGGATGCGCCACCTCAAATGGACAGAAGCAGGCTGAGACCTGACATCTAGAGCCCCTGGCTGGCTTTGGGGGGCTATGTGCAGCACAGACACACCCTGAGCCCTATGTTTGCAACACAGGCACCATCACAAGGAACTGCTCAGACCTCTGTCCCAGGAGGAAGGCCCGGACCAAGGCCGCGCTGTCTCCCCGGTGCCCGCAGGTGGGTGCCCACCCCCTTGTCTGTGGGAGGGAGAACTGAAGGGAGTCACAGGTCAGCGTTTTGAGGCCTGCCTGGTTGGGGTGACACTTCCCAGGTTGAAAGGTCAAATCAAACAGTCTGCCACCACCCCTTGTAAATCATTACGCTAATTTGGGATTTTCTGCCCCAAAGAGGTTTATCCACCCCTGTGACTTATGCTTGTGACATGGATTACAGTCGAGGCTACACAGGGTAAGTGGGTGAGTGGTGCTGGCTCCTTCTAAAGGCCTCAGCCTTTGTTGTCTTGTTTTTTGTTCTTTGGGGTTTTTTTTTCCTTTTTGAATACAAAATGTGTCATTATAACCCTTAAGCTGAGAAACTAAGCAGTGTAACTCAGTGGTTTACTCAGGAGAGAAAACCCGTTAAAAAAGGAAGTTTCCATTGAATGAAAAGCAGGCTTTCTCAGTTACCAACATTTATCCGGGGCTTTAAAAATGCCCATGCCCCTTCCTTGATATAGTCCCCTCCTAGGAATCTGACTGGGGAAACAATTAGAAATTGGGACAAAGATTTATGCAGAAAGATGTTTATCACAGCAATTTTTACAATGGCAGAATATAAAAGCCACCTCTGTTTAAATATAAGTGAATGTGTAAGTAAATTATACTGTATACATGGGATGAAGAATCTACACAAAAGGTTTCCGTGGTGAAAAGAAATGCTTATGAGGTAAGTGGAGGGCAAACAGGATACAATTCTGTATGTGGAATCTCAAGTATATACAAAACTGTAAATATTTTAAGATACACTAAAATATTGATAATTTGTAGAAAGCAGAATTATTATTGTTGTTTCCCGCTTTTGACACATATTTTTTTATACGTTCCATAAATGACACAGATATGTTTGGAATCAGAAAAAAAAAATACTAGAGCAATTAAAAAAAGAAGGTGGAGTTTTTCTCAGCCTAAGTTTGGCTTTTGATGAGGTGACTTGTATGCTGCTAGAGACAGATTTCTAAAGGACCATTTCGTGTGCCGTGTGTTTTATGGTGTGCCATTCTGCTGTGGGACGCAAACTACGGCTGAGCTCAGCATTTTCTGGCTGCCGGAGCCCTGCTTTGCCCGTCACTCCTGTGATTTGCAGTCCCCCTCGGCCTCCCCAGAGTCGTGTGGATTGCTTGCTGCCTTCTGGGCTCTCCGGGTGTCACCCTGGGATGGATAATGCTTGGGTCCTTTAATAGCCAACTCTGTCTGTCTTTGGTGAAGTCCCTGCCCTCGGCTGACGGGCTGAGCACAGCTCAGCGGCCTTCGGAGGACTCCCTTCCATAAACCCGAGCAGGCACTTCGTCTGACTCCCCCTCACAGCCTTGCCTGGTTAAGTCGGGCGCTGCCCCACAGACGCCAGTCGCTGGCTTTATCTTTGGTGTCCTCCCGTGTAGACCCAGGAGTCCCACACTGCTGTGTGTCTATGTGGCCCACATGGCTGAGTCCATACCCTGGACTAGGCAGGAAACGCCTGCAGCTTCGCTCCCTCGCTCAGTTCCCATAGCGTCCACAGGAGGTTTTGTCCTTCCCATTTTACAGCTGAGGAGGCAGGCTGGTCTGCTAGCCTGTCCCAGGGTCCCAGCGCGTCTGAAATTCCAGCGCAGGGCTGACTGACCTCGCGGTTGGTGCTCCTGAATGTCAAAGATTTAGAGCAACTGGACGTTCCCAGGAAAGGGCCCTGGTGCACTTCCCTCGCAGTCCACGCAAATCTCTGCTGCTCTGCTTTCAAAGCCTGTGGCTCTTCAGAGAGAGCACGCTGAATGCCAGCACACCTACTCATGTCGCCGTGTCACTGCTCAGACAAATCAGATGATGCCTCTATCCACCTCAGGCTGTGCACTTTGGTGGTTTGTTTTTTTAACAACTTTTTTATTCTTGATTGATTTTAGAGAGAGAGGAAGGGAGAGGGAGAGAGAGAAACATCAATGAGAGAGAATATCAATTGGCCGCCTCCTGCATTTCCCCGCATTGGGGTTTTACCCCACAACCTGGGCATGTGCCCTGACCGGGAATCGAACCAGCGACCTTTTGGTGCATGGGTCGATGCTCAACCACTGAGCCACACCAGCCGGGCATCAAGCTGTGCACTTTGGATTCGGACGGTCAGAGCCACTCGATCTGAAGGTTTTGCAGCAGTGATGTGAGTGGAGTTGAAAGGGTTGTGTGAACACTTGTGTGAGGCTTGATGACAGGACTGCCCAGAGCTGGGGTCTGAGGCACTTGCTGCTGGAAGAAGACATGCCTTTGACGTGAGGACCAGAGTCGGGTGAGCACTGAATCCCTGTAGGCAAGAGCTTAGAGGGAATCATGCTCCTACTGTCACTGGTAATGAATCAAGCAGCATCTAATACTGAAGCTGATATGTGGAAATCATCCCACAAATATCTACTGGGAGAAGAAGTGGGTGTCTCCTCTGTTCTCTGAACTGTGGGAATGGGGGGGGGTGCCCTGGGCCTCTGGAGACCCTGGAATTAAATGTACACCATTTAACCTTCCCCATAGGAAGATCCTATGAAAACCATGCAGCTGTTTGAAAGGACAAACTCTGGTCTTCCGCTGTATTACAGCGGTTGCGTAAATAAGAAGTTAGAGTAGCCTGACTGGTTCGGCTCAGCAGTGAGAGCGTCAGCCTGGGGACCGAAGGGTTTCGGGTTTGATTCCCAGTCAAAGCTTGTACCTGGGTTGCAAATTCGATCCCCAACCCAGTCAAGGTCGTGCGGGAGGCAACCCAGCGATGTGTCCCTTTCACACCGATGTTTCTCTTTCTCTCTCCGTCCTTCCCTTCTTCCCTCCCTCCCTTTCACTTTATCTAAAAACTCAATAAAAATTGATTTGAAAAAAAGAAATTAGAGTAAAACCTCACAGGTGCAGAGTAATTCAAATGTTGGAGCATTGGGACCAGCCCAAATGATTGAAAAGTGTGAGTTATTGAATAATTTTTAAATGCAGTTTTATTGATTATAAAAGGCCAGGAGATACCCCATAAGTGTTCAATAGATGTGTCAATGAATGAACTGGTGGATAAGTGGATGGGTGGATGGATGGATGGACAGATGGATGCAGCTAACACATATCACACTTACTCTGTTCCAAGTACTTTACATGTATAAGCTCATTAGATTCTAAAATAGTCCTATTTGATAAGTCCTGTTAATATCATCACTTTAAAGTTGAAGTCACACAGCTGTTGAATGACAGAGCCGTGGTTTGAATCTAAGGTATCTAGCTCTAGAATCCTAGTTTTTAACCATGGAAAATTCATGAATACATGCATTTATAAGTGCTTGAATGTCATTTTCTTATACCAATATCATGCTGCTAGAGTGTTTGAAACGTGTGTTTCCGTAATTACATTTGCTGAGTAAACACGTCCAGTGCCCACCATTTCATAGATGGGAAACTGAGGCCCAGAGCAGGAAGGATCTTGGCTCTAGCCCCACAGCCTGTGCCTAGCTGAGGCTGGAACTCAGACCTCTCCATGACACTTTTTCAATTTCTCAGTTTTCATTTCACAGCTGGTCCAGTGCTCCTTTTTAAATTCGTCTCTCTGGTCCATGTCCAGGTTCCTTCATAGGTTCCACAGTAGAGGAGACGAAACTGAAAGTTTACATCAGGTTTTTTCCAGCAGGTGGTATCTCTAATGCCCCTCCCAACTGAGGTTTCTTAGTGACTGAAAGATGCCAGTGCTCTGTGAGCCCAGTTTTGGCTGTTTACCGAAGTTAGATGCCCCCTCCAAAAGGACCAAGATCCTGCTGGTTGTTTTATTTTTTCCTTTCCAAATCCAGGAAGGGCTTCTAGGTTCTGATGTATGTACAGTTCCTGCCAGCAGGCGGCAGCAGAGCCTACCAGTTACAAATGCCCTAGAGGCTGGCTGGCTGTCAGCTTTGATTCCTGTCTACTCTGCCTAGATGAGTGACCACAGGCAAGTCACTTGCCTCTCTGTGCCCCTGTTTCTCCCTCTGCAAAATGGGCGTAACAATAACTCCTACCTCATAAAGTTGTTCTGAGGCTCAAATAAGAAGGCACCTACCAATCAGTAGTGCTCACAGTAAGCATCCAATAAATGTTAGGTATTCTTTTATCAGCACAATCGCCATTCTGTTAGAAAAAAATGTCAAAGAATTATCCACATTGTCCACTTGTTCTAGAGTTTTGTTTCATTGAAAATAGATAGGAAGGTCGTCAGCTGGGGTCTTAGAGACCTTTGGTTATCCTCTATAATTAACCGTTTTGATAAGGTCTTACTTATAGAAGTATATGCATTAGAGCTGAAATAGATTTGGAGAAGGGCAATATCTTTCCTGAGGCTTTAAGGTGGATTAGTCCCAGGGCTTTAGGAAGCATACCTCTCTCAGATGATGGGGTTCTGGGTACAGCACGGCCACCTTTGGACCACTCTGCCGTGGGATCCAGCAAACACCGAGAATAAAAACTGTTTTGTGTTAGTTGGCACTTTGTCAATATAAAACAAAAGGTTTTTGGACTGAATTATTACCTATAACTTTGTATCCCTGAAATGGCTTCAAGTTCATGCCTTTTCTAAGTCATGAACATAGAGACATTGAGTTCCCAAACATCCCAAGAAAAGCATGTTATGAGCATTTCAAGTGGAATATGTTATCTTTCCTGGCCATGACCCCTCCTATAACTTTGTTGGGATCCACCTTGTTTTTCCAGCTGTGCCAGAGCTGAAACTCCTCTGCGGGGCAGATGTCCTGAAGACCTTCCAGACCCCCGACCTCTGGAAAGATGAGCACATCCAGGAAATAGTGGAGAAGTTTGGCTTGGTGTGTGTGAGCCGGGCTGGTCACGACCCGCAGGGGTGCATCTCGGGCTCACCCATCCTGCAGAGGTACCAGCACAACATCCACCTGGTCAGGGAGCCGGTGCGGAATGAGATCAGCGCCACATACGTCAGGAGGGCCTTGGGCCAGGGGCAGAGCGTGAAGTACCTGCTCCCGGACGCCGTCATCAGCTACATCAAGCACCACAACCTCTATTCCAGGGATGACTCCTGGAATGGCAGCAGCACCCGGACCAACGAAGGAGAGACGAGCTAGGGGGCCAGCCGCTTCGCCACCGAGCTCCTCCGCAAGAGAAACCCTTAAGGTCTTTTTTTTTTTTTTGCTCTTTTACTTTTTGTTTGTTTTATTTCAACAATAATTTTACTTCTGAGGCGTCTGCTGTCCCAGGAAGAGATACCTTCTTTCAGGAGGAGCAAGTGTCTACATCACAAGGATGGACATTTATCAGAGTCATTAACGTGGCGTGCCAGGTCATCAGGGTTAGGAAAAGCTCTCAGAACCTTTGGGCGAAGAGGTCTTCTCCTCCGTGAGTGGTGAGCGTGACGTGTGCACCGAAGGTGGTGCTGCGCGTGGCAGGCTCCCAGGGTCACATCAGAATCCCCCACAATGCAGTTTAACTAGGACCAGGTGCAGCGTGCGGGTCTTAATTGGAGAGATCTGACAGGATGCTAATTACTGACCAGTGGGCTTTGTCAACACCATGTTTCAAACAAAACAATACTAACTGAGGACTTAAAAATTTGGAAGCAGCACTTTGCTGATGTATATCGAATCTTCCATGAAGAAGCGTGATCTGCCTGCTTACGGGCCATTGATACAGTTTAAACTAAAATCTTTCTAAGTAGTTATCTTCAAACGATATTTCTGATACAGCAGATATTTTTGACACAGCTGTTCTATAAATGACCAGGCTCTGGATTTCCATGTTTCTAAAATGAAACTGAGGTAAGACAGATGCCTCGACTCTTCGAGAGTCTTTCTGAATGTTTAATGATGGCCTGCCTGTTTGAGTATTGACAAAGGGATAAATAATAAATTGACATCAAAAAGTACTAATGAAAAGTTTCTCTTTTTCCTTCCTTTGTTGTATTATTAATGCCTGGTGTACCAGCTGTTGCTCTTCTTTTTAGCTACTCCGTGAAATTTGCTGCTGTTGCAACCGAACGGGCCTGAATTGAAAAGCCGATGAGTCCTCGCGGTGGAGGAGGCGGTCGCTTTCCCACACCGTGCGGACGGCCCCCAGTCCGAAGCTCTGGGCGGGCCCTGAAAGAGGAGAACAGGCTCCTGGCTGGGTGCAGGAGGCGCCCGTCCACCCCTGGTGAGGAAGAGGTTTTGATTGGCCTAGTTCTATTTATGCTTGCTGACCAAATGCCTGAATGCATTCAGGTTACTTCATCCTTTCCCCCTGGCTCATCCAGATGTAGTCATGCAGAAAAACAAAGATCAGTCCGAGGAACCCAGTGTCTCCCCAAATATATTCCACCATTTGCATATGTGTCATAACGGCAATGACTGAAAGTGACGTCCTGGGTCCAGAGCAGTGGAACCCTCCTATAGGGGTCCTCCAGACCTCCCTCCTGCAGCCTCTAAAGCTGCTGGCCATTCCCCCTCCCCCATGATGGACCTCTGCCCTCAAGAGGTCCCTATGGACCCCGATAGTGCAAGGGAATAGGAATCCAACGGCCTTGTCCAACATCTACCACAGCAAACGATGTGGCTTTGACTAGCTCCTTTCCCACTGAACCTCAGCTTCCCAAACTCTAAAATGGGGACGTTTGATTAGACAAACTCTAAGTTCTCTCCCAGTTCTGATTTCTTAAGTCTCTGAGTGCCTCTGACTTCAGCCTGTCCACCTTCTTTGGGTCTAGTATATTTCTAGCCAGACCGGAAGCTCTCCAAGGGCAGGGGGGCCTTTGTTTTGTTTGCTGATATGTCTTAAGTGCCCAGAAATTTGCTCTTCCAAGTGTGGTCCCAGGCCATAGTACTTGCATCCCTTGGGAGCTGGTTAGCCATGCAGACTCTCGGGTCCCACCCCAGACCTGCTGACACGGAATCCACATTTTAATAAGATTCCCAGGTGATTCGATGCACTGGCCTAGAACAGTGCCTGTTACAATAAGTATTAGTTTATTTTTAACCAGCTGAATGTATAATTGAAATTACATTACTTGTGCTCTGGTGAATGTCTTCCTCCTTGCTGTCTGGGCACTGCAGCAACACTGTTCCGTGTGGAGTATAAAAGGCAACAGAGGGGAAAACCTGCAAACGGCCGTAGAATCCAGAAAAGGGGAGAGAGAGGGATCCTGTGGGTTTGAGGAGGGTTTCTCAACTTGGGCTATTCTGATATTTGGGCCAGATCATTCTTTGCCCCCCTGTGGGGGGCTGCCCTGTGTAGGATGCTTAGCAGCATCGCTGGCCTCTGTCCATTAGGTGCTGGTAGTAACATCACCCCCACTTCCCACTGTAACAGCAAAAATGCCCCCAGACATTGCCACATGTCCCCTGGGGCACAAAATAATCATCCTGGTTGAGACCCACTGGCTTAAGAAGATGGCTGTGGGGTATGTATGTGAGGAGTGGTTCTGTTTCCCAAGAGGGAAAATTTGGGAAGCGGCAGCTTTAGAATAGTCTCCTCTTTCTAAAAAAGTAGTTTTAGAGAAGTCCCTACCACTCGTGAAGTCGTGTTTATTCTGGGGGACACAGTGCTCTCGACAGTGGGAATTAGAAGCCACCTCCTTGACTCGGAGGCACCCTGAGCTTCAGCCTCCAGGGCCTGGTGGCTTTCTCTCCTCTGTGTTTACAGGCGTCCAACCTGTGCCCTCAGAACTGTCACCCAGGGCCTGGCAAGGGAAGACTGTCAATGAGCGGAAGCTAGTAGTTTTATGATTCTGAATATTATGTTTCAAAATTCAGGATTCATTCATTCAAACCTATTTACTGAGGACCTCTCATGTGCCAGGCACTAGACTATGCACTAGGGGTACCATGATGAGCAAAACAGACACAGTCTCTCCCCTCTAAACGCTTACGGTCCCCTGGGGAGATGGACAGGAGTCAAACAGTCACATAACTAACCCTCTGATCACAAACCGAGAGGAGGGCTCTGATGGCAAATACACTGTGTGCTCCAATGGCAAGAGGCAGCTGGTTCACTACAAAGCTTCAGGTCTAACCTTCCACTTGCCCAGGCCCTCCCCAGCACCCTTGGAGGGGCCTAACTTCCACATTCATAATTTTTATTTTTATTCTGAAAAGGGGCCTTCAAAACTATATAAAGTTTAGACCCCATAAAACATGAGGAATCCACCCTGATGGCAGGGAAGAGAAGATGGATTTTAATTTTAAAATATGAATTCCCAAGACTTTGGGATGGGATGAGGCCATTGGCTTTCAGCATGAACAGCATGTGCAAAGGCCCTGAGGCAGGAAAGGGCAAAAAAGCATGATGAGCTAGATTCAGTATCACCTCCTTTAGAAGGGGTCTATTGTTACAATATGCACCTGACAGCAGGTGTCCTTGCATGCCACATCTCCCCGTCCAGTCTTTGTATAGTCTTAGGGCACCAGGCCCAAGTAGGTTTGGAGGCGATACCTTCATCTCTTTGATTCAGGACTGGATCATGGGGCTCCCACCCAGCAAAACAATCATTTCTGAGCCTTCACATTGTCCTCGTCTAAAGAAAACAGCACACACACACACACACACACACACACACATCCATATTTCTCTACTCTCACCTTGTCCTACTGATTCACGTAGCCTCCCTTTGTTCGTATCAGAAGAGAGACAATGTCTCACCGCCGTGCTCCTGATTTGCTGCATTGACTCTGACGGGCATACCTGATTCCACATGCCTTTCCGTTCCCTCGGGCCTGCTTCGCCTCTGGTTTGCCTGGGTGTTTTGTTTATTTTGCAAGAATAGAAAAACAGTGATTTGGGCTCCTGGGTAAATAGAATTTCCAGCCTTAAATAAAGGTTCTCCTGTGATAGCATTTGCTGCCGAATGAGAGGAGCTCTGTATCCCAGCCTGAGGAAAGAATTTTTCATTTATAATACTCTCTGTGCCATTTGGGACAGAATGATGTGAAATTCCGTTTTAAACCGATAGCACTCCGGATTTGCAAGGTACATTTGGTAATTGGGTTAATACATGAATTTGAATTTCCTTATCCACGTCCTCACATTTCCTATGCTAAGTGGTTCTGCCTTCACTTTCTGCAAAGGTCTCCATGCATAGACTGTGTTCGGTTTCAGTTATGAAGTTATTTTCTGGGACTAAAACTCAGCATTATAGATACACGTGTGTGACCAATAAAGTCTATAATAAAGCACCTAGGCGCACACTGCAGAATATTTTAAAATTGTTCAAATAACCCCAAAAGGCTGTCTTCATGGCACCATAGACTGGAAACTAGAAGGGGCCCTAAAATGCATCTGGTCCCACCTTTCCCAAATTATCAAAACGCTAAAATCCCACAAATTCGTGGGAGTTTCACTTTGAAAAACAATAATAACATTGTGTTCTGTGGACAAGTTTGGGGAGCCAAACCTTTCTCCTGTTGGAGATCCATGGGTGTTTGCATGCCTGTCAGTCTTACTTTATATACATCCCTCGTGTGCAGCCGGATTTCTCCACCCCTCCTGTCACCTCCCAGTCCAAACCATCTCTTCCCTGGGGTCCCGCAGTGGCTCCCCTCCCACTCCTGGCCCCTGCAGTTCATTCTCCACAGAACAGTTCTGTGTGTGTGCGAACCTGGTCGTACTACTTCCCTGTCTAAACTCCTTCCGAGGGGCACCACTCAGAAAGTGGAGGACAACTTAGAGAACGCATTTGCGAAAGGTGTATCTAATAAATGACTTGTGTCCAGAACATATAAAGAACTCTAACAGTTCCCAAAACAAGAAGACTAAAACCCAACTTTAAAAATGGTGCAAAGATTTGCCTGGACATGTGCAGCAGCCCGATGCTGCTGTCTGGAAGGACCTGCTCATGGAAGTGACCCTTGGCTGGCATCTGAGAAGCTGGCTTTGGGAGTGCTGCCTGCGTTTCTACGTGATGAGAAGCCTGCCCGGGGCTCTGAATCCTGCGGCACCAGCTTGCCTGGACTGTGCACACAGCGTGATTTATAACAAGCACCTGCTTCCCCTCTGGGAGCTTGGAGTTTCTGCAATCACAGCTGGTCGTGCAGGCGGAGTGCCGACATCACCCGTCTAGGATAAGAACCTTGGATTAGGAGTCTCGAGCAGGCTTCCCTGGGCAGAAACAATGCTCCCTGTGGCTGCATGTCACTGCGGGAGGGGAAAGTGTGCTCTGTGCACCCCCACCCCAGGAGGGAGAACTTGGAAAGCCTTCGCCTGGGCTCCTCCAGACTCCACCTGCTGTGTCTTCTCCCCTGGCGGGTCCTGCTGGGCGTCCTTTTGCGGTAATAACCCTCTGAGTCTTTCCAGTGTGTCCTCAAATGTGGAATCCCAAAAACCAGACACTTCACCAAAGAAGAGACATGAATGACAAAGAAGTACGGAACGTGGTGCTCAATACTGTTAGTCTGGAGAGAACCATGGTGAGATGCTCCTTCGTACCCACCGGAGTGGTTGAAAGCAAACCAGCAATTCCACTCAAAAGAGATGCAAACGTGTCCACTCAGACATGTGTGTATGTTTATGCAGCATTATCCACTGTAGCCAAAACCTGGGGAAACTCAGATGTCAACTGGTAAATGGATAAACAGGTACATCCACACAATGCAATAACATTCCGCAACTAAATGAAGAAACTAGTGATAGATACCCGCCCAACACGGGTGAGTCTCAAACAGATGCTAAGTGAAGAAGCCAGACATGAGACGGCGTAGTATAATTACCGTTTGCGTGAAATTTCTGGAAAAGGTAAAACTATAGAGACAGAAAGCAGGCCAGTGGTGCCTGAGGGTAGGAGTGGGGATTGACTGAAAGTGGGCACGAGGAACTTTGGGGGATGATAGAAATGTTCAAACTAGGTTGTGCTGATGGTTGCACAATTATATAACTTTACTAAAGCCCATCAAACTATGTTCAAAAATAGGTAACTTTTGTGGTATTTTTTAATTTCTTTTTATTGTTGAAAGTATTACAGATGTCTCCCCTTCCCCCCCCCCATTGACTCCACCCTGCTCCCACCCACCCCACCCCCTTTTATTTATTTTTTATTGACTTTCAGCGAGAGAGAAAGGGAGAGGGAGAGAGAGAGAAACATTGATGAGAGAGAACATCGACTGGCCGCCTCTTGCATGCCCCTCACTGGGGATCAGGCCCACAACCTGGGCATGTGCCCTGACCAGAAATCAAACCAGTGACCTCTTGGTGCATGGGTCGATGCTCAACCATGGAGCTGCACTGGCTGGGCCCACCTCCCTTTTAAAAATTATATCTCAACAAAGGTGTTTTCAAAACAATCCCAGAGCTTCCTTTGCTGGTTCTTGGAGAAGAGACCTGACTCCTCCTGAGGTGGCTTGCTCCGCAGCCCCCCAGTCCTTGCACCGCCCACCCCACCCCTCCCTGCCTCCCTCCAAACCCCCACCCCCAGTTCTCACTCTCTGTGCTCCAGCCATACCTTTGCATATGGTTCCCCCTGCCCGGCTTGCTGTCTCCCTTCTCCCCTTCTTTGGACTGATTCCCATTCCTCTTCAGTTTTCCACCTCAAGCCCCTTAGTCCAGAAAGCGCTGTCGGAGTCCTGATTGAGTTAGACTTGTCCACTCCTAGCTGCCTGCCCTTCTCTTGTACGAGAATTTCATCACTCTTGAAATTATTGATTCGGCGGTGACTCCAAGTTCCCTGAAAGCAAGAATTTGTCTTAATCATTGTTCTTTTTCCCCAATACCACTCCTAGCTCAGTAAATACTTCATGAAATAATATCTGAATAAGCATCTTAACAGTGCTGAGCAGCCCAGGACAAGCATGCCTGTCTCACTTGGTGTAAATCAGTGTTTCTGAAGCATGTTTAGACGGAATCCTTTTTATACGCATACACTTAATCATATGTGGAACACAGCACTCAAAGGAGCCGTTTAGGGAGTTCTTATCTAAAGGTTTCCCCCAGCTTCTTGCTGCTACAAACAATGTTGCGATAAACAGCCTATACATTAGCCCTTACAAACCAGTACTCTCGTGGGACGGACTCCCAGGGGTGTTATTACTGGGTCAAATGGTATGTGTACTTTTTATTCTAATTGATGTTGCCACATTGTAGACTCTAGATTTTTTTTTAAGTAAATTGATTTTTAAGAGGGGGAGGGGAACCTCATAGAGCTGCTGAAATTCGCATTTCCTCGTCTTTTCCAGAAAGTCACTTCCGTCATCTTTCATCTAAGCCAAAGCAATATCTGTCCATTTTAGTAGATCATTTGTGGTGAATTTCACTTGCCTTAGAGAGACATAGCAGTCTGTAGGCCAACATTGCTTCTGGTGTTTGCTGGGCACCCGAAAGGCTCCTTTTTCCATTTTGGTAAATAGGAGCCCTTCGAACTAGCCTGAGAGAGAGATGGGGGCACCAGGTGCCACAGGATGTCAGCAATGGCAGGACCCAAAGAGAGGACACATATGCAGGGTTCACAAGAAACTAGAAAGAGAAAAGAAATTGAAGTTCCCTCCCCCTCCCCATTTCTCCTCCTGCTCTTTTTCCTCTCTTCCTCTCTCTCTTCCTCCCTCTCTCCCGGCCCCCACTCCCCAGATGGGCTTCTGTGCTCCTTGGCCACTGCTCATCATCTAGTGCCCAGGTGACCTCCCACCATAACCCCTGTCTCAGTCTCCCCGGTCCAGAGTCCCAGAAAGAGACTCACTGGCCCTGATGGGCTTGGCCACCTGGCCCTTGTGGCTGAGACATGTGTGCAAGGGCAGACAGGAAGGAAGAGGTGGGTGCTTCCAACACTCTCGTGAGTGCCCACAAAATCACAAAGGGGCCAGAGTTTACGTGCAGGAGGTGGTGCAGTGATGGAAGAAGCGTACCCCTGGAGGGAGAAAGGGATGGAGAGCAGGGCTGGCCCCTGGGCGTCAGTCACCCCTTCTCTCTCCCTCCTCCACCATGGCAGACAGACCCGAGCTAGGGCAGGTTGCGCAGAAGCGGGAAGGAGCTCCTCCCGGGCCCACAGGCATTGTCGGAGCAGGTGCTTGCGTGGGCCTGGGGGAGCTGACTCCACGGAGGAGGGCAGAGTCAATGGACTGCAAGGGGACTGGGGCGGGTCACCTTCAGCCTGATCCTGCAGAGCAGCCAGGGTCCTTCCCGAGAAGCTGCACCAAGCGCAGGACCCAGAGCATCACGCAGGTGTGAGGTCCAATCCCACGCAGCTTCGTCTGGACTTCCAACCTCTCCGGGAGCCCTACCTTGACCAACGCTCAGCTTCCCAGCAGCAGAGTGGCAAGTCTGGGAGGTGTGGACCTCCCACTCGTCTCAGATGCCTCTCTCCTAGCCTCCGCCCCAACTCCCCCAGTCAGAGCTGGGGACAGTCTCTCCTCTGGGCCCTGCAGCCCCGCAGGTCCCTACCACAGCCCCAGTCCCCCGGTTGCCCCTGTTTCCATGGCTGTCTCCCTGAATGGGGTTAGATCATGGCTTTTTTTACTTAAAACTGTGTGACCTTGCCCTGGTCGGTTTGGCTCAGTGGCTAGAGCATTGGCCTGCGGACCAGAGAGTCCCGGGTTCGGTTCACATTGTGGGCACCTACCTCGGTTGCAGTTTGTCCCTGGCCCCAGTTGGGATCGTGTGGGTGGCAGCCACTCCGTGTGTCTGTCTCACATCGATGTGTCTCTCTCTCTCCCTCTCTCCCTCCCGCTCTATCTGAAGATAAATGCAGAAATGTCCTTGAGTGAGAATAAAAAAAAAGAAAACACCTCTGTGACCTTGAGCCAGTTACTTAATCTCTCCAAACTTCATTGTTTTTTATCCATGAGAGAGTGATAAGAATACCTAACCCACAATGTGGTCTAAGGATTAAATTAGGTAATAGATTCAACATTTTGTCATGTGAGCACT